TTGTCGTTGTTTTTTGATTTTAATATCAATGCATGGTTTCTATTCGTAATACAAATTTGCTTTTGCAATTTTTTCCGGAGTAATTCTGTATCTTTTATAATAATCATTTCATAGCAATAAAAATTATAATTCATATGGAATTTCCGTATGCAAATTTTCTATAGTAATATGGCAATGACACTGACTTTTTAGCAAGAGGGGTATAACACAAAGCAATCATTAACAAGCACCAGCTATCAATGATCAATACCCATATGGAAACAGCCAGCATGGTCTGAGAGGGAGATAGAGGGAAATTTTATCCAAAGCCCACCAACATGTTCAAATCTTTTTTCAATCATGGAGAAAATTCCATGGTGCTGAAGTGCACTTAATTGCACAGAGTTTGCATGTTTGTGATAGGAAAATTTTAATGACACCTATTATTCATAAGGAACCAGACAATGGGAAGGAAATTTTTTTGATTCAAGACTGCACCACTATGTCAATCAAGCTAACAAACTATTAAACTATTACGTTTGTGCATGATTAAAATTCTTTGGTGCTCCCATCTTTCTTTGCTTATATATAATCTATTGGTTCTCTTTTTACTGCCAAATTGGATAATGGGGTATCAGTCAGACATCAGAATCTGATATCTGACTGATTATTTTTAAAAAAATAATTAAGGTATTGACATTACTGGTAAGTTAATAATATTCTTAGTATTTTTATCACATAGTCTAAAAGCCTATTAGTAAATATTGAAAGTGCCCATATTTATCAGATGTTTTTCTAAAATCAATCCTATTTTTTAGTTAATTATTGACTTAATTAAGTTACTGGTTAAATATTTCTAAAGCTCTTTGTGAGGAACTTTCTTAATTGCAATACTAAAATAATATAATAATCTTGAATAATTGAATAAAACAAACAATTTGAGTAAAAAAAATAAAGCAAATAAAACAAATAAAACAAAATGAGTAAAACGAATAGTAATTTGAATAAAGTGAATAATTCAAATAAAAGAGAATAATAATAACTTGAATAATTCAATAATTCGAATTTATATTAAAATCAAAAAACAACAATAAATAAATGAACAAATAGCTTTTATTGTGAAATAATTAATTTCGTTCCTTTGGTAGTCAATTTAAACTGCATTGTTTTTAAAGAATTAATTCAAAATAAATGTTATTAAATGTATAAAATTTAATGATTTTTAAAGTTGCAAATTTTTTTGATACATGATTTCTTTTAAAGAGTTTAAAAAATAGAGAGCTCGCTGTATCTGAAAATCACAAATTATTGGGTGATCAGTCATACAAGAAAGAAATTACAAAAATTGGTGACAATGAAAAAAAAAAATGCTTTAAAAGAAATTGTTGCCAATAATAACAGAATGATATAAAAAGTTCTCGTAATTAATCCACTAGCTTAAATGTTTCAATTAAAACAATCTGGAGCATAAAAGCCACTTCTTAACGAAATTCAACACTAAAAACGATTTGAATGATGTATTGATAGATGAAACTGGACAATAAGACAATGGAAAAGTGTCATATTAATATGGTGGGGAGTGGACTCATTTTTACAATATTTGGTAGTGATGGACCAACATGAATTTGGCACGAAGATGGGACTCATTTTAATATTGAAAATTTGTCACCTACAGTAAAGCGTGACAGGGGAGAAATTATGATTTAGGGCTGCTTTACAGCTAAAGCATTGGGGCAATTGGTAGAGTAGAGGGGAAACTATAAAGATTGTATAAATACAATACATGTATGCCAAATTTTTCTTTTTTCAAATATAAGAAAATTTGGAAATGTATCAGAGTTGTAGAATGTTATCGTATAGAGAATATTGATAACAATCATTAGGATAAGATATTGGATAGAATTGACAGAGACCTATGAATAAGAAGGACTCAATCGGAGGGAAAAGGTAAAGAAATTATTGAGTAGAGAAAAGATCGGTCGCGTTTACTTCGTCAACACCCATTTTGTCGAATGTTTGTTTCATCGAAAGTTCATTTTGTCGAATGTTCGTTTCGTCAAATGTTCATTTCGTCGAAAATTATTTCATCCTCGAGCCAGAGACCGAACGAGTTAGATGTAAGGAGTGTGGGAAGTTAGTTAAGAAATTAAGTGAAGAAAGCGGGGGGTGTGGGAAGTGTGAGGAGAAATTTGTTTAATGAAGTTTTTTTTTTGTGGCGAAATGAACATTCGACGAAATGAACTTTCGATGAAATGGGTGTCGACAAAATGACTGTCGACAAAATGAATCAGACCCAAAAAAACTACATAATTCACAGAATATTTCTGATGAATTTCTTAATGAGGTAAATTATTTTATTTTTCTATTTATTTTCTGATTTTTTAGATATTGTTGATTATTATTGTTGTAATTAAATATATTATTTATTATTTAGTTCAAAAATTATATGAACTTTCATGATAAAGGATCTATAATTCATATTTATGGATTAACACAGGATCCAATTACAAAAGAATATGTATTTATAATGGATTATATGGTAGATGGAAGTCTTCAAAATTATTTAACTAAAGATTTTAAAAATTTAAAATGGAAACAGAAAATTAATATTCTTAAACAAATTATTGAAGGTTTAAGAGATATTCATGAAAAGAAAATTATTCATCATGATTTTCATAGTGGTAATATTCTTCAAAATAATTGGGTTACACATATTGCAGATTTAGGATTATCATGCCTAGTTAGTAAAACATCATCATCAAACAAAAATGATATATGTGGAGTACTACCATATATTGCACCAGAAGTTTTAAAAGAGAAACCATATACAATGGCATCAGATGTATACAGTTTTGGAGTTCTGATGTCTTTAGTATCAACTGGCCAACAACCATTCAATAATTTGGCACATGATGAATATCTTGCAATGGAAATATGTAAAGGTGCAAGACCCAAATTCTCAAACAATACACCAAAATTCTATATTGAACTAGCATTCAAATGCATGGATGCTAATCCAGATAAACATCCAACTGCTAAAGAAATTTATGAGATTATTTATGATTGGAGATATGAAGATAAATTTAAAGAAGAGTTTGAGAAAATGGACAAAATAAAATTTGATCCTTCAACAATTACTGCAGTAATTCACCCAAATGCAATTTATACTAGCAGATTATTAAATTTTACAAACCTTCCCCAACCTGTGAATTCCAATAAAGTAACAATTATTGGTAATAATAATGGTAATTATTAATATTCAATCATTGATTATTTCATTTTTATTAAATTAACAATATTTATTAATATCCACTCTTGTGATAAATATTTTGTAGATTCTAAACAAATTGATTAGCTATACCAGATGACTTACCTGAATAAGTTAAATCCTGTCACTTATTATGTATTAAAATTATTTATTTACTTTTATTTATCTGGCTACTATAGTTTAAATGTTTTGAGTAATGATATGATATAATAACTTTGGATGTCAAATATGTACACTAAATAAAAAATAATGTAATTTTTAATAATAATTGTTATCATACATACATATAATCATCAGGAAATTAATTTAGCGTAAACTTGCATAAATCTTACGATGCCGACGTAATATTGTGTAAATCTTACAGTGCCGACGTAAGTTTTACACTTTTTTATTATTAAACTTACAATTGACACGTGTAAAATTTTTTTATATTTTCCGGATGATTGCAGTATTGTTTGTCTCTTACCTTTTCAAATCAATGGTTTCATTTTTTTATAGTATTGACAAATTGAAGTGATGTATTATCAATATATCATATAATATAATAAATTTATTAATATTAAAAACCTTAAATTTAATACATGTATCTGAATAATTTAAATATAATAAAAATTATACCTAAATTATCAAGCAAAAAGCCAACAGACACAAACTACAGTATACTGATTGTAGGATTTGTTGAATCAAACAATGCCAAACTTCTGATCTTATTTGGAATCCTGACCTGGAGTCTGATGTTTCCCACAATAGGAAGGGACACTATGAGTACATTAAAAAATAACACCTTCAATAGATAGCTAGGTCCTGCTTGTGTTGGTACTAGCCACATTGATGCTTCAGAAAAGAAGAAAATTTCAAAATTAGGACCAGATACTGGCCACCAAAAATGCAAACATCTATCAAAAACCACAACCTTGCCTTCGAATCTCCTTTTAAAAAAGAAATAAGTGTGTAAAGGCTTCCTCAGATCTTCTACACCTTGATGATGACCAAAGACAAATGGGCCCACTTGCATGAAGTGGAAACACCATGCCAAGCAATCACCTATTACACATCTACCTGTACTACTGAAATATGCCAGAACAAGTTGTGGAAGGATCCTGGGATGGTGAATTAGGTAAGTGGGAGCATTTCTTCAAACAAGACGAATTTCAAAACCCACATGCATGACTTTACATACACAATTCATGCAGGCATCCCCTGACCCATCATGGAAAAAATGTTGCATGATTTGGTCATGAAGTATTGCAACCATCAAATGGAGAACCATGTTGTAAAGAGTTCCCCTTGGCCACAATCAGATACAAAACCCCAGGTCTGAAATTGAAAATTATTCAACACCAAAGATAAAAAAGGTAGGGTGATTGTCCAGTGAATGCCACCCATTCTCTATATTTTGCTAGATACATAGTGAGCCCTTTTTCTTTGAACACCTCATGATAAAGGTTGCAGCAAAGTTAGAGCAAGACTTGCCAGGATATTTTACCACATATTGAGAAAGATTCCCCTAAGATACAACAAAGCAATAGATTCACTTAAAAATAGCTATTTAAACCATTTCAGAGGCATATGCAACAATCTTAAGATTGCTTTACCTGAGCTTGAGAATCAAGATCTATGTTTCATCAGCTGACATCATTGAAAAATCATCAGATGGAAAATACATCTACTTCCTTCAAATCATTAATCTAAAAGAAAAGAATACCCATTGATAGCCCCTGCTGCCCAGAACATTGGTGGGAAAACCATACACTCATCCTTGAAAGTGAGGGAAGATACAAAGAAATATTGATTTTTCAAACAGTGCACATAAGACTGAGCTACCAAAAATCAATGCCATTATAATAAATGAAATATCTATTGTGGACAATGATCTGCTCACCTTCATTAGCAATACCTTCTCCTGAGTTCATAATAATAACTCAACACATATAATACCCTTGCTTGATCTTTTTATTTTTGGTATTGGTATTTTGACATTAATGTGGCTCACATAAACCAATCCTTTCTTTTTTAAAACTTATTTTTAATACCAGAATCACTAACTACGTTTAAAAAAAGCATCATTGTTTTTCTCAAGTTGTATTTCTCTTATACTTTTTGTGATTGAAATTTTATCAGTGGAAAAAATTTCAATTTTTTGTTATATCAACAAAAATAATTGGTAATGATCAGTGGGGAGCATATCTCATAATAAATAAAATTCAAAGTTCACCTTCATTTCTGCTAGAGTTTCTATTTGTAAATTCGTAATGCAAATTCTTATTCAAATCATTTGTTTTAATTGTTCATTATTATTTAAGTAATATTAATTATTATTCATAAAAATATATTTTTTACTATGTATTTGATATATTATAGGATCATATTAAAGATATTTTATAAAAAGATGGAAAAGCATTTATTTATCACCCTATCATGGAAGTTGCACATTTACTTGATCCATCATTTCATGGTTGCTGACTTACTTCTAATTCAATGCATAAAATTTCACAATTTATTCAAAAGTTTTATTCAAATGATGCAACAATTATTTGGACACAACTCTTGCATTATAGGGAAAAAGTGGAATTTTTGCAAATCAACTTGCTTGGAAAGCAGTTGATAAAGTTGATCCAATAACTTGGTGGAGTGGGAATTTCATTGATTCTGCACCTGAATTAACTTAAATGGCAAAACGTGTTTTATCTATTCCAACATCATCTGCAGCATCCGAAAGAAATTGGTCAGCTTTTGCTTATATTCATGATAAGAAACAAAATCAATTAACACCAGATTGTGTCCTAAAATTGGTATATATTTATAGTAATTATAAATTGCAAACACCACGAGAGACATCAGTGTGGAAAAGATTTTCAAATGAGTCAGAAGGATTGGATAAAAATTTATTGGGTGGGGATATTGAATTTATAGAAAATGAAAATGAAGAAAGTGAATATTTTAGTAACAGTAGTAGTGGTGAAAATGAAAAAGAAAATCAAGAATCTGTTGATTTTTATGATTCTGATGTAACTTACTAAGTTAGTAAAATAATAAATTTTTATAATAAAATTTTGTATTCTAATCACAACAATAAACACAATAAACATATGTTTTATTACATCTAAGCTAAAAACATGAAGATAATTTTATGGTGGATGATTTTTTAATAAATCATTAATAATTTACTATGCACAATAAACTAAGGATTTCGCATTTTGCCATCCCTAATCATCAGTAATTATTCTTTTCAATATTGTCACCAATTGACTTGAAATAGTTCCTGGACCTTCCTTTTAACATACAATTTCTTTAAACTTATGGCTCAGGTAATTTTTATTAACCCCAAATCATATACTTTTCTTGTATTGATTTTCCTAAAAATGTACTTTAATAATATTGTGAGTTCTTCTTGTGTCCAATTCTTTGAGCCTGAGTGCATTCCACTAAAGACTAGTGCTGTAATCCAAAAAAGGAAAAAGTATGGTTGCAAAAGTGGTTGCAAAGGTAATTTGCAACCACTTTTTATATGCAGTAAATACAATTACTACCATCACCATAATTTACAGCACTAGTCTTTACATTTCACCATCAGACTCCAAGACACTCAACCCATCAGAATCAACTTCTCTTTCATTATCTGAATGCATCGTTTCTTGCATTTGGTGCAAGAACTTGCCTTGGGCTAACCGCTGCTTCCTCTTCACTTTCTTCCTCTTCACCTTCTTCTCTTCCTTCATTTATTTCCATTGCTTCCTCCTAGGGATGGGGATGGTTTATGGGGTCTGGGACACTTTACTGACACCCACTTTACTGACAACACGCGGGGTTACATTTAATCTCTACACAATCAAACAAACTAACAAAATGCTAAAATATCACATCGTGTGTTGTTGGTAAAGTGGGTGTCGGTAAAGTGTCCGGGTCTAGGTTTATGTCATCAGATTGATTTTTTAAAAAAAAATTATTTTATTATGAAATAGTTAATTTATAATTCATTAATGTATATACTACATATTTATAAAGATACCCTGAATTTGTTTTTAAGTTTGATAATGATACATCACCAATTGCAAAGTTTCCAGATAATGTGGTAGAAGCATCTTGTTGGTGATCTTTGTCCTCGCCTTCTACTTCTACTTCCCCCCTTGAATTTTTTTTAAAAAAACCAATTAAATTTTTTGAACTGTTTATTATTGTTATTAGTCATCCTTTTACAGGCTGGACAGCATTAGTTACTTTAATTATGGCAGAAAAATATTAAATTAAAAACATTCATTATTAATTTTATTTAAATAAAAACCACAAAATATTTAATCCAAAAAATGCAAAAGCAAATATATACTTTATTTGATCATATAATATTTCTAAATACGTGCTTGAAATTGAAAATTCTAGAATACATCTTTACATTTTGCAAATGCATAATGTGATGGGAAAATGGCATGTTACATCATATGGGCGTATTAAGGTGAGCATTTATGTCTACACGATTACAGGGTCTTTAAATCCAAATAATGTTTAAAGAAAATTTCATGTAAAGCTGTAAAACTTCAAAGTTCAAGATGTTTTACTAACGATATTAAAAGCATCATAGCCATAATAAATAAAATCACAAAAATGCTTGCCTTCGGAAGTGAATTGTGATCGGACCATTCTTTAGCTTTTTACTTCTATGTTACTGACCCATAAAAACCAGCTCCACAAAGGATTAAGAAATGAATGAATTGCATCACCCAAATCTTCAATCATCCCTTAAAGAAAGAAAGACCGTTCAGAAATGAAATCAATTTTGAAAAAGATCTGAACATCGTTTTCTTCAAAACTTTTGAAACGTTTTTACTGTGTGAGGGTTTGATGTGGATTTGTTTTAATCCGACCTTTCCGTGCTTTCCGTATTGGACAAAGGGTTCCATCATCTTTTCATCCAAGTGGTAGCGGAAAAGTTTTAGTGGTTAAGCCTCCCTCTGGTTGGGCCTCTGTGGTTCCCTTTTCGATCGCAAGCTACTTAAGAATCATTTCCATGAATAATACTAAATCTGATATGTTGAGCTTTAGATGTCAGATTTAACATTCCTATCTTGTTGATCCCTAACTTCCTTCCAAGTTTCCTAATAATAAAAAAGTTGAATCAGGATGAACTATATCATTTCATAGACTTTCCGGAAGAATAAAGCTGATTCTTCATACATTTTTTATTTTTACGGTTGATTTGAATTATATCAATGGAATTGGTCTGTAATTGCTAATACTAATGAATTAACACACTATTACATTTTCTATGATATAGTGAGCTAACATACATGCTATTTAAATAAAAAAATGGAGCTTATGAGGTATCAACTATGCGAGAAAGGGTTCTAGAGCGGAAAACATAGATAGTAGAATAATATAATGAAAGAAAAAAAGGAATTTTGCTTTGTACTAGTACTACTAAATGAATGCGTTCCGACACTACGCGCCTCAACACTCGTAAATAACGGACACCATATCGATACTATGTATCTTAGCCCTGGAAACCCGAATGCATTGTGAAAAGTAACACAATTACCTCAACCCTGAAATTCGAATACGTTATGAAATGCAATCCATGTATGGCAATTCGGCTCAACGAGCTCAAGCAAATGACGCACAGAGTCCAAATAGGTCAAATATGGCTCGTTATAGTCGATAGGACATAGAGGGCTTAGTGAACACACATTTCTTTTTTATCGCCTCGGCTAGCATGATGACGCATTCATGGATCAATCGTCATATGTGTACTGTAGGCAAACGTAGACTGAATCGGAATTCTAGGATACTCTGCATCCCTTGACACATGGTACCTCGAATGTACCTAGGATTTGTGAAATACGGGTAGGTACTCATTTAACAAGCCATTGTACTTATTTAAATTAAGACATTTGACTTATTGGACTAGTTGTAAATTATTGGTGGTCACCGCCAAATCGAATCTTGCTTTTTTATTAATGATGCGAATTAATATGCGAAAAACAATTTGAGTTTGAATTTGAATTTGAATTTATATTATTATTTAGATAAAAGAATTCTTTAAATGATGACAGGGATCAATAATTTAAGAGACTTTTTTAGTGGCATCTAACATCAAATCAATATTCCTCATGAATACTAATTAGCCGAGTAAATTATTATTAAAATGTGTTTCCCAAATCTTCAAAAAACAGAATCTCACATTTAAATGATCGTCATACATGTGATTATAAAAATAAATTGATGATCTATAAAAATTTTTTTTAAAAAAATTAATTGTTAAAGATAAATAAAATGGTATGTTTTATATAAATGTATAAATATATTGAATTGAATTGAATTTTTAAATTAAATTAATATTTATACACATGTATATGTAGCCATCTCATAAAACTTTTAGGATCAAACGTGTCCTTGGGAAAAAACAAAAACAAAATCGACCGATTCCTCATTGGATTCGACTTCGTACAGGAAATACAATCAGGTAAAATAACAATATTATATAGATTAAGAATGTTTCCCATTATGTTAATATTTTAATGAATGATGTTTAATGATATTCAATATTATTATTATATAGATATAATGCTAAACGTCGTCATTGGCGTCGTACTAAGCTCAATATTTAATATATTATTATTAATTTGGAATATTTAATCAGTTAATAAAATTTGGATCTAAAAAGAAATTAAAAAACTTCATTCTTTTCTTTTCTTTCCTTTTATCCTAGAAAAAATTATTAATAAATTTATAATTCTTTTACTGAATTTGACAAAGCAAAAATTTATATAATATGTGGGCACGCTGTAACAAAGCCAGACAAAGTGATTAGGAAGCAGAATGTTTATTTATATGCTAAACTAGCCACGAGTATTCTGTGGTTCCAAAGGCCTGAACAAACAAATATTATTATATTTGCATCTTTGTAAAGAAGTAATTTATATCTGGCTTTATATGCCTTGATGACTAGGTATTGGGTTATATTAAAAATCATTTCATTGCCAAGATTATAACATATCTATTTATATATATAAACAGATATTCAGAATCGGACCTAATAAAACTAAAAAATATTATGTTTGCACTGAAAAATGACTGTATTAATGTGGCGGAACTAAATTTTTCACTGTTGGCCCGATCATGGGCTCTCTGCATCTATTTAAAATCAAACAAAACCATTTAAAAGAAAATGTAACTACGAGACAAATTGCCCAATTGACGTTAAAATAATTACAACTTTAATTAAAACTATATTTTTATAATAACAGAACATTTAGTGGCAATGTTATTAAGTATGTACACAAGTAAACTCGATAAGTCGGTCTCTTAATATAAGTCGAACTCGGCCAAAATTTTTTCTGCCCTTTTTTCAACATTTAAAATCTCTTGATAAGTCAGTCAATCTATATGTAAGTCAACCAACCCCTTTTTTCTAAGATATAATTGTAAATTACCATCGATAAGTCGATCTCACGTGATATTTTCATTGAGCGAAAGGTCATTACCGTAAAGTCTGGGCATCCCCTTTTTACATGTGTAACATTTTTTTTATATTGACGCTCAATTGTTTTAAAGTAGGGGTGCTATCTTTCCAGACTTTATGGTACTATTTAGTAACCTGTAATATTCAAAAAATTTAATATATCATTTATCATCATCATCTTGTTAGTTACCTCATTGATGTATCATTTATTATCTCAGAAAAAAGCGTTTCTTTTTTGTATCATGAACAATATATTTCAGGGTTGGCAAATTGACTGGTCCATTGAGAACAGATGGATTTTGGACTGGTCCATTGCAATTAATAAAATACTAAATATG